TTCTCCACTCATTTGGCATCAACCATTAGCATGATTGTTGCTTTATAAACAATCACAATTATTCATCCAGCTCAAACCCTTGGAATAAGGTGAAACAGCCTTCCAAAGAAGATTGTGTCTCCATTTGGCACACAGTCAGAAATGTAGTATCCTTGCAATTTTCAGTGATCCTTCAGCAAGCAAACAGTCTCCACATTAGCTCCGGGTATGTAGTGCAAATTACCCAGAAGGGGTAAACAGCTTATCCCAGCCCTTTTCCTGGTGTGGTTCTCCATTGTGCTTGGTCTTTCTAAGGAGAGTTGGAGATGATCAGGAGCAATGTAAGCTTTCTGTAGCGCTCAGTTCAATGCCCAATGTTAGGGTCTGAATGACTGAAGCAGAATGCAAGCTTTCATAATAAAAGTAACTTCCCAATATCTGGTCTCAAAAAAAAAGGCCACATTGGCAACTTCTGCCATCAGGTGTGGGGGAAGCGAGCGGACAGAGAAGACAAGTCATGGCAATATCAGAAGACTTACTTCTTGACAAGATGCTTTGTGGATCCTTGATTTGTTCCCTTTTGACTTTCAGGAAGACTTCTTGCTTAACTAACAATTATTTTAAATCTTACCTAAGGCAAGGGCCTGTAAAATATTTATAAATACACATGTGGCAGCATTTAACATCCTGAATTTGCCAAGTAGGTTTCTCTTTCCAAGTCTAATCACGAACCAGGAACGTGTGTGACTGTGTGTGCTGCATCAGCTGTTCTTACAAATGCGTGTGAGCTCCAGCTAAGGAGATGGCATGTTTTCCAGGTCGAATCTTCCCAACTGCGAATAGCTGAGATAAGAAGAAGGAATCAGTTGGATGGCAATCAATTTCTGCATTTTGGGATAGGAGGGGAAGGAGAGGAGAGAGAGAAACGAAGAGCTCCTCCAAGACTATAAAAGGCAAAAGTTTAGATGAAGGTGATGCTGCGGAAGGTTTGCCAAGTTATTGGAAGGTGTGTGTATGTGTGGAATTAAAAGCACTTTGTGGCTAGAGCTTGGCGTGTGCTTTTGCGCTGGTCTAAATCAGCTGCTTAAGTTTGATGATTGTTCTTGTTGACAAGCTTTCAAGCAACTTGGCTCAACGTAGAGGACATGTGCTTTTGAGGCACTCACAGAATACTAGACTGTTATTAAATGTTAGGGTGGTGGGAGAGAGAGGCACAGGGGGAGAAAGAGTATCCCCAGGATGATTTATGTGTGGCTCTGGAATCTCAGAACAGAACAAGCTCATCTCTGTCCAGAGCAGTCCATGAAAGAAGCAGCAGCAAAAGACCCTGGCTGGGGATCAACCACTTTGTAGAAGTGCCTTTCTGAATTCTGTTTCTGGCTGTTTAAAATCTGGACCAATAAAATGAGACCACAGGCCACATGTTGGAGCTAACACACAGGCCACACTTAAAAGCAGGCCCTCAGAACTGGTCAGAAGTCCCCATTTCGACAGTATGGCCATTGTTATCATAGGTTGAGGTCACTTAGAAAGAAAGGCTAAATGTATATTCCTTGCTCTCAACTGATAAAATTAAAAAAAAAACACCTTGATTTCACATTTAGTGTGAATTCTGAGACATGTTTACTCTACAAATGCCTCCCTAGGCATGGGGAGGTTCATAGCTTGCTGTAAGCCATGGTTTGTTTAACTGGAATTTGCTGGATAATCTGGCTGGGTTTACTTAACACACTATGCCAAATAAATTTATCCCCTTAGCATGTTGGGTGAATTTAGTTACCATCAATTGCTGGGGGGACACGCACAGACAAATGGTACTGGACTTATATCCAGCTGACACGCTCAGGCATCTGGTTGGCCACTGTAGAAAAGGGAATGCTGATCTAGATAGTCCAAAAATCTATCTAGGTTGATTTAAAGTTCTTGGAAGTACGACTGCATCCAATAGGATTTGCTTCCAGGATGCTCTGTACAAACCTGCCGCCTGCATAGTGCAATTCTGCGCACGTTTACTTAGAAACAAGCCCCATCCTTAACGAGATGTTCATAAGTCTGTTGCAGTCAGAGGCTCAGAATGGATCTGGCTATAGAAACACTGAAGCTGAAAACAGTCAATGCACAGACTTTGTAGGCATCTGCTCTCCAGTTAATGTCTAGAGATTCAGGAGAAGTTTGTAGAACTTGATGTGTGGCAAATCTGTCCATTTGTGCTAAGAAAAAAACAGCCTAAAACACTTAACCAGCTACCTGTAGAACTGCTGGTGCTGCTTTTCTTTCTTTCCTCTGTATTTATTTTAAATCAATGGATAGGTACATAACTGTTGGCTGGAACTTGTGTCACATCAACCCAAAACAAATCTGTAGACTGCCGGGGTTATATAATTTCTCTTAACTGGAGAAAGCAAAGGGGTCTATGCTGGGAATATGTTCTTTAAAAACACTGCTTTGAATGGTACTATTTTTCCTCAACCCCCCTCTCCCCGTTTCTTATGCAAGGCGGGTAGTTTATGCTGTTATGCCAATAACTTTAACAGGACCTCCCAAAACAAAAACTGAACAAAAGCAGCACCAAAATCCAATGGGGTGCAGCCAGGGTATACATAGGCTATTATTAGGGAGAAAATGTTAAATTTCCTTTGAGCTGAACTAAACTTCTGATGACTTCATAAACACATCTGTATAGTTTTTTGGGCAAGTTTGCCATTGATGACTTTTTAAAAACTTTTCTAGTGTAGCCTGCAACCCTAAGGCAATACTATTATAAAATATACTTTATAAAAATACAGTCTAGATACTAATCTCTGTATCATGGGTTAATCAGACCAATGAAAACTACACCACACTAGATATTGTGGTTGTAGAAAGTAGAATTAAACTTTCAGAGGACTTCAAACCCAATTAAACAAACATTTGTGTTGAATCTGCAGTTGTTTGAAAGATCCTCTCCACCAGCTCAACAACTTTGCAAAATTGTGTTTGCTCTAGTGAAGCCTCTGCCCCCAAAACCTGGTGCCCCCTACTTTCAAATAATCTATAGTCTGTGTAAAAAGAACGAGAGAAAGAGAAGGCTGTTGGAAGAGGTGAAAAGAAAACAATGTGAGACAGAGAACTGATTTTTTTAAAAAGGAAGGCAAATTGAATTAAATGAAAACTCAGACTTTCGGAATGGTCTTTTCTTAAGATGACCATTTCTGGATTGTAAAAATCTGGGCCACTAGATAGCACAGAATGTTCTGAATCTCTTTGTTGCCATCCAGCAGCTGTTTGGATCTTTGTAGACCTTTTTTTTTTTTTTTTTTGGTGCCTTCAAGTCAGTGTTGACTCCAAGCAACTGCCTCGACTAGTCCCTGCAGTTTTCCTGGCAAGATTTTGGAAGTGGTTTGCCCTTGCCTCCTTCCTAGGGCTGAGAGAGGGACTGGCCCAAGATCACCCAGCTGGTTTTGTGCCCAAGGCAGGACTAGAACCCATGGTCTCCCAGGTCCTAGCCTGGTGCCTTAACTACTACACCAAACTAGTTCTCTGTGATTATAGGCCACAGGTATAGCGGACTAAGTGGCCCAAGGAGCTGCTAATGTGGATAACTTGGCCATACAAACAGAGCCATTAACTCCAAGAATTCTCTATGGAAGGATTTCAAACCATCTGTAGAGGAAGCAGAAAACATCTATTTTTTTTATGTCCACCTTGGCTATATAATTTCACTTCCTATTCACCCTGAAAACTTGCACAGCCAGGATAATCCACATTCCACACTGTCTCCTCATTAGAGCACTTAGTCAGTGGGTTGGCAGGCTGGCCTTAATCTCATAAATTTCCTTGCTAGTATAAGAACTGTCCACCCTTACAAATGCTAAGGCCTATGTACCCCTTTTTGTTCTTGAAAATCAACTGTGAAGTGACGAAGAAATAATGCCAGAGAAGAGAAATACTTACTCCGTAAAACATTAATGTTTTAATGAAAAATCTTAGCATTGTGTTTCTATCCAAAGACAGTCAAAACTAGTTTTTCTTCCTGCTCAATTTTGTCTTATAATGGGATCAATCACTTTTTAAAATTTTTGAAGGCTTTTTTTTAAAGTTTAAACAACCAGGCTAGCAAAAAAAGGTATCCAATACATATTCATCTTATATCAAACAAGCTAATATTTCAGTACAGGGTAACTATACATAATATATACATTACACGGAGGATCACAAAAGCAAACACTACAGGCTCAGAACAAATCTCGAAAAAACCATGATATTCACATTGATTACAAGAACTCTAAAAATGATTGTAACAGTGAAACGGCACTTTAGTTTACAAAAAGTCACAAAAATATATATATATGTATATATATATATATAGCCACCAAGAACTATGGGTTCCTTAAAAATACTAATAGCCAGATATAGTATATAAAATGTAAAGTGTATTTCAACATTAAAAAAAAACAAACAAACAAACCCAAAAACATTTGTCTTCCCATTAAGTCAATCAACATGCCAAAAAGCTTAGCTGTGGTCAGCACAGACAGGGAAAAAGAAAGAAAAAAAGAAAGCTGAATGAGATGTGTCTGGTGACCAAGGACTGGCACAGTTAAAGGGGAAGGCTAATAAAGTTTTTGCTGGAATGGCCCTTGAGGAATTGAGTCACTCTTCTAACTCCAGCTTTATCCCCTCCCCTTTAAGGTTTCTGCAACGGCCCAGAGACAAGACAGTACTGCACATGTGGAGTCAGGAAATACACTCACTAGGGCTGTAGTCAGAATAAACCAGCAGCATGCAGCATCATAGATCAAATCAAACAACAGTGCCACCCATTTCAGGGGTCTCCAAACTCTCCAGAAAGCAGCTGAAGTACTTTATTACCGTACAGAGAATTTAAAGAAAAACAACCAACTTCACAACGGTGCATTTTGCCTTTTAAAAAATAATGGCATCTTTTAAAATACCAGCTGTGTGTTACTGATCAGGTATGGTGTCACCCTACTTCCCAGCCAATGACGACTTGCAAAGTATGGGAGGACCTAAGCAGGAACTTTTTTTTTTTTTTTTTTAACTCCATACAGTAATCTGAGATCAGGGACTGAACAATGTTTCATTCTGCCTTTATTAGGATCAGAAAAGTAAGCCTTGTCTTCTGCAGAAAAGCAACAACACCAAAATAAAAAATAAAAAATGGCTTGTTTGCATTGAATGCCATCCAACACTCCTGGTTGCCATGTTCTATAGACTTTAAGATGCAAGGATTCAGATTTAGCCCTCTGCCATCTTCAGGCTGGTGAAAAAAAATTTAGTAACCCTCTCCCCACAAAACAAAAAGCAAACAAACAGGCCAAAGCCATTATTCAAAATTTTGCAAATTCATTGTTAAAAAAATACAATTTTAATCTCTTTGGGGACCTGGGGCCTAGGGACTATAGTTTTATAAAATATAATATATATATTTATATATTTTGCTACACCGGCACTGGTTACTTTAAAAAAAAAAAAATCACATTTACACTTTCCAGACTAATGATAAGTGCCAAAACTAGAACTATTCTTAAAGACACTGTTGACTATTGTATTTGCATTAGAACTGGGAGCAAAAATTGGTCAGTCTGAGGAAAAAGATCAACTGATTAAAAAAAAAATAGTTATAAGAAGCTGGTGATAAGAATATTTGCAATCCAAAAATGGATATTTTGTTATAACAGCTTGGAGAAAATATGGAATTGTCTGCCATGAGCACGCATGTTTCTATCCTCGGTGTAAGCATGCAGGTTTCGCCCATGGGAAAAGTCAGAAAATAGGACTAATTACCCTTTTCAAACTGAATTTGGGAATAGATGTTTTCCATGGGGATATAAGCCTCTCTCCCAATTCATTGAAACAAAAGGTTGAATTGCATACCTTGACTTTTGGGGCACCACACTATAGATGGAGATCCTTTTACACATGGATAACCTGAACAGTCAACCATGTATCTTAGCAACTTTAAGGGACTGCGTCACCTAAATGAACCCAACGTTATTAACATGCACTGTCCACAAATGAAAAAAACTCTAATATCTTGAGAAAAAATTAAATCAAGACAAGTTCTATTCCATGAAAACCTTGTTGCTTGTTAAGGTCACCACTGAGCTATTTGGAAATTATTATATGACAGTTCTCTGCAAGGAAGACAGTAGCAACATCTAGATGGGATGCAAAGATTCTCCTTGAAAATTCAAGCTGGAAGGGAAGGGTGAAGGCCAGCCATAATGAATTGATCAAGAGTGTGTTGTTGTGGAGAACATAATTTGCTGCCAGTGCTGGCCAGAATCCAAACGTTCAGGGCTTCAACAAGATTACCATGGGGGCTAGATGTACTCCATGAGTTGGACAGTTTGCCACACTCCTTACTTAAAATAGGTTGTGCATAGAGCAGGGTTTATATTTTCAAGTTAAACGTGTGCATTGCTGAAGACTTGATACGCCTCTGCTTTTAGACTCTGAATACCTTCCCTTGCTTGCGTGCTTCACTTTGACTGCTGCTAACTGAAGTATGTCTGACATCCTGGCCACTTTCATATGTTTAGTCAAAGGAGGGAAACTTGAAAAATTACTTTTTTAATTGACAGGTAGCTCTACAGATAGGAAATGCTTACGTAAGGAAAGGTTTCTCTTTGAGGGTGAGAGATAAGTGAACAAATCCCCTGCTGGGTTGAGACTATAAATTCCTGAAAATATATCAAGATATGGATTTTTTGTGCTGTAACACAACATGGTAGAACAGGAATTACACAAACGTTTAACTATGTTTACATTTCAGGAAGCAAATAAAAATCTGACCTCGAAGATATCTCTTCAAAAACGTTTGTTTTAGTGTTATTTTCAGAAAGCAGGCAATTTTGGAAATGTATTTTAAATTTACATCATGTGCATGTGGACATATCAATCTGCACTAACAAGTTGCTCCTAATCACAGACCTTATGGGAGATAAAATGCACCGTGCAGGTAGAAAAAAGTCCCTGTGGATCAAGGTTAGATAAGTACACAATACTTGCTAGATTACGCGTAAAGTCTATTTGATTAAGCTAACTGGCTTCCTATTCCCTTTAGATCTGAGGAGCCCAATTTGCGATCCTCAGAGCCCCCTTCAACAGTGCTTCTTAATATTTACCGCATTTCTTTTAGACCCATCTACTTTGTCTGGAGCCCAGTAAATATGCCAAAGTGTGACTCTCACCCCCTGCCCCAAAGCTGTGTATTTTAGTAAAATGACTCTCTCAATGAAATGTGTGACTAAACAGGGTTTATCCTACATATATGGAAGAAAATAAATGGTTTAGTTCCTAGAGGAATTACTAGAATAGTAAAATTCTTGTATGTATAGTATAGCCAATGTCCTCTTTCCTTATATGAGTTTTATTTTACTTAATAAATATTCTGAAATATTCCAACCTGAAAATTCCTTTACTAAAAACATTTTGTTTACCAGTCCGGAAGAGTGACTTGATTTTTTTATTAAAATTAATTGGAAGAAAAACCTATGCCTATCTCATAAAATACTCTAAGTGTAATCTTTGTTAATAATTCTATCAAGCCCTTTAAGAAGTTGCAGAGAAGTGCAAGAAACAGTCTCCTTGGATTTGGTGGATTTGCTATTAACAAAACTATTACTTTCAAAGTTTTCCACAAACTTCAGTCACCACTGCATAAATATCAGTGCTTTTGCAGTTCTTTAAACATTTCCCCCATTTATTATATTCTATTTTATCCTCAGTCTGATAACATGAAATTCAAATCACTTATGTCCTCTGATAAATCTCATACTTAAAAAAAAAATAACAAAGATGGTTTAAACAAATCCAAATGAGGGGGAATAAAATATATATTTTTAGACTTACCAATAAGACGCTGGTGACAAAACCAAAACTGCTGGCCTGAAAATGCCCTTTCTTCTCTTTAGAATCTTTTTAGGGGAAAATAATATGGCAACTCTTTCTGGTGACTGTTTGTTGGACCTGTGCTTGCAGTCAGAGTAATGGCTTTTATGAAACCAGCTTGGCAAGGGTATAAAAATGATTTAGAATAGGAACATTTCATCATTGCAATCAGGTCTTTTGTAAACAACTCTCACTGATTTGAAACTCGGCCTCTAAAGGAAAATAAATGGCTTGTTTTACTTAAAAACAGGCTAATAAATTGCAGTAAATAGCACACATTCAGGCATAACTTGAAAAAAGCACATTAATGCGCAAAGGCATTTTTGACTTTTGTAAACTCACTTCTCGTCATACTTTCCTAGCATCCCAATTTCCTAAATGTTAATTAGGATTTCCTGATGGCTCTACTTCAGAAAAGGAAGTCTGGATAAGGCCATTTGCATGAGAAGATTCTAAGAAGGCATGGCCCAGCACAGGTGAGCGTAACTGCACAGCCCTCCCCCCCCCCATTTTGCCAAAGCCAGTGAATCATCCAGTTTTAAAAACGGTTACAATGTGCATGCTAATGAAGTGAAAAACTAAAAGTGATTCCTTCTAACTAAAAAAAAAAATCAAATGTCTACCACACTAGTTACTTAACTGCTCGTAGTCAAAACAAGTCTTCGACAGCCATCAATACCTTTTTCCTTATGAGAAGTACTGCAAAATTAGGGTGGCAAAGCAATGCCAAAAGTTATCAGGCCTAATTTTAGACCTTGGGTGTGCTTGGCTGTTCTTCAAATTTAATCCTCTTATTCTGACCAAATCTTCCTCTGCATTTCAGCCTTAAAATGTTTCCGTACAAGTGACCATTTAGATGTGAAGAATAGTGTAACATCTGTTGCAGTTTATAGCTTTAACAGCATAGCTTATAAAATGAAAAGGGGTACATTCACTCCACCCCCTCCTGAAAATTAAATTAAAATGTACAAGACCAAACACAGGCACTTTCCAAAAAGACAAAAAAGGAAACCAAACATTTGACTTATTCGATAGTAATAGACGAGAGCCCAGGCTTCGGGGGCTCCTCTCGGCTCGCCTCGGCGCTTGCGATGGTCTTCGGCTGCTCGGGCAGGTCTTCTTCCTTTTCTAACAACCCACCCAGAGGCCCCAGCGGGAAAGTGCTTTCGCAGTTCTGTGTTGATGAGACCTGTGAAATAACCGGCATTTGGACAGAAGAGCTGCTTTCAAATCCATGCTCTCCTAGCTCATACTGGCCAAGAGTCTCTTCGTGTTCTTGGTTTAAGTAGTCCGGTACTAGGAAGTCACTGGAAGGGAGGTCAAAGGTTGGGGAGAGGTTACTTGTCAGCCAGACACAGGTTGGTGCTAACTGCAGTGTTACAGCTAAGTGAAACAGATCTACTTTGCTAAGAAATGAGAATTGTCTGATTTAAACAAAAACACACACTAGCATTTTGAATCAGTGATGCCTGTTAGATCTACACGGTATATATAAACAATTGGAAAGCTTCTGAACCAACCAACCAACCAAAAGCCTCCTTCGGAAAAGAATAAAATTTGAGGTTGGGTGGCAATTTAATACAGAATTGATAAATTAAAAATAAGCAAGGAAAAGTGCTCACAGAAATGTTTCTATGATTGGCAGGTTTTCAGTTCTACTGAATATAATCCAGGAAAAATAAAGCAATTTTAAGTTAATGTTCTGCTTTCAAAGGACTAAACGTCTACAAAGGTCAACATCGGTGGTGTTCTTTCTTTCTAAAACTGGTACGACTACCTATTTCAGGTTAGCTGCATTTCATTCTTCTTCATAAAGGTAGGATTTAAGTATAACTAGGGTTTTCAAACTATATTCGCCATATAAATGCTGCTTTATTGCTTTTGGATGTCGTCATTATAGAGCAATTGTAAAAAGAAAAGCAAGAAAGGAACATTATTGCCAGCACTGCTATTTTTTCACATGGACAGGAAAATAAAGTATTGATGCAAAGCAGTCTAAAAGCAGCTTATTATTTTGATTACCTGAAATCTGTATCTCTACCGACAGATGAATGTCATATATTCCAAAACACTGGCACAGGGCAGGGCCACTGCATCCTGCCTGCAACATGGTGTTCTCCAAATGTGCTGGACTACAATTCCTTTAGTTCCCAACCAACATCACCTTTAGCCAAATTGGCTTTGGATTACACAAAATGTAATCCCACACATCTTGAGGGCGCCATGCTGGAGAAGACTTGAGTTCCACATGGGACTGCAATAAACCTGGCAACCTGATGAAAAAGGATACTATAGGCTGCCGTGAAAGTAGTAAAAGATGGTTTAGGAAAAAAAGTACGTTTCCCTAATAGTTTTTTTTTCTTTTTCTTTTTGTGCACCTCACCTGCTCTGGAAGTAGTTTGCTAGCTCTGACGCTTCATGGTTCAGACTCCTCAGATGAACGATTAAATTTCCAGAGTTGGTGAACATGGCGCCACATGTTTTGCACTCGTAAATCCGAGGCTTGCGGATAATGTGCCGGGAAACCCGCATGTGGTGTTTATATTCCCCGAAGGAAGTGAAAGTGGCACTACATATCTGGCACCGGAAACAGCGTTTACCTTCGTGCTTCAGGCGATGCATCTTTAGCGAATAAGCCCGGGTGAACTTTTTCCCACAGCGGTCACACTGAAATGGTTTAATGCCTGCGGGAGGAATAAGCAGAACATCTTCACAACTGAAAAGCATCATGAATAAAATTCCAGGCCCTCCTAATGGCAACAAGTCTTCCAATTTACACAGAGGCTATTATCTGAAACTTCTAAAAACAGGAGGGTAATTCTGCCAAAACTTTCAAGTGCTAGATGCAATTTCCCCAAAGCTAAGAATTCAAATCTTATAACTGTGTATCAAATAAAGGATCTCCAGACCACCATCCCCCTATTACATTTCTGAAGAGCTGTGAAAGCACATCTCTTCAGCACAAGGACGAATGAAAACTATGTTACCCCCAGTGGTGGCACATCGTGTTGGTTGTAATTTCTTAATGGATTTTGTTAATTTTATTCCAACTTGTATCAGTGGGTTGTAAGCCACTCAAGAGTCTTCGTAAATGGAGCGATGTATAAACCAAAGTAAATAAATACATTAAAAGTTATCAATGATCAAGTATAAAAGAATGAAGTATAAATCTGAGGAACATATAGAGGCCTACTGGGGGAGATAAGTGGACACCATGGCACATTTATCTGGAAGTAACCATATTACCCATTCTGTGTTAAATATATATCACCTGTTTTTTGTTTTTTTTAAGAGTAGAAAATATTATATTTATCCAGAACATCCTTCCCATCTTGCATGAAGACAGGATTCAATGACATGAGAGAAATGCATAAAGACTAAAATCAGGTGCGGTATATTTGTTACCATATTTTTAGTTCTAGAAAAAACTCATGTGAAGCATTCTGGTTTCCAATCTAAATCCTCAGCCTTCCAGAAATCAAAGCTGATTTATTCTTCAGTTTTACTGCATTCTTGCAGTGGGCAGCAACACACAGCTATACATTGCTTCAAGACATACATACAGGCTCCTGTTCAAACTATGCCTTTGGGAAGCAGACCAACAAATATCCTTACCTGAGTGAATGAGCATGTGCTGTTTTAAGTTCTGAATACGGGTGAATCGAACACCACAAGTTGGACATTGAAAAGGTCTGTCAGGACCATTTGGGCTAGGTCTCTCTGTACTGCTGGTTGTAGGAGCAATATAGAGTTGGTAAGGGTATTGGACATTCTCCAGTCTGAAGAAGCAAATAATAACTCTTTTAGTAGCAGATCAAGAGGAAAAAGGTCAAGTATACAAAATACAGCACAAATGCATCTCAAAAAGATAATAACAATAATAAAAAATCTAAGTCTACTAAATTATATTAAATTACTGAATTCTTTAAAGGGTAATTTTAAACACAGTGGAAGTTTCGTTGAAAGGGAAGGGCCAGTGTATGAAAATAAAGATTTGCAATTAAAATACTGTCACAGTGAACCTGGTATAAAATACTGGTTATAATAATAATTTCAACAGCTGATACTTGCATGATATTGAAGTATCAACTTTGGGAAAGGTCAGAAATGTTTTGCGGGCACATGATGTTATAGAGTGATGTCTATTCCAGGAAATGCTTGAAGGAGGAGTGTGCTCTTTAAACAACCCAGGTGCTGCCGTAGGCATGCTGAGCTTTTAATGTTACTTTTTTTTCTTTTCTTTTTTACAAAAAAGTCACTTATTGGCCACATCAAAGCTTCTAACATATTACACCTCTTCTACCTCTGAATCCTTTTGGCAGATGTTCATTCCAATTTTTAAAAAGTGAGACTCTGCTTAATTCAAATTATCTCCCTAATGTGGACTACAAAAAGATGCAGATTTATTCTGTTCTGCTAATCTTCACTTAAACCACTCTGTAACTATGTATTTGTTACACTGTCAGCCAACCGAATCCCCTAAAACATGTACGTGAAAAGGAACTTAGGTTGTCAGAAACAGTGACTGACTCAAGGTAGGAAGCTCTGAGTAGTATTACTGCATGAAATTTTTTTGCAGTTGTGCTTAGGAATGTAAAATGTAAAAAAATCTGGCGACAGATTTTTCAGGCAGTGGATGGTGAATGTTAGAGCTTCTGTTCATGGACTTCTAAATTCCCTTGTTCAGAAAGCCATGCATTTCTCCAGGGAAGCTCTGCTTAAATTTGAAGGAGGTCCGTCAGCTTCTGCATAACACATTTGTCGTCATCTTAGGAGACTCAATCCAGCAATCTATCTACATGGATTTAGTTCAGGTACTATAAATCCATTTCTTCCAGCCTGGCATTGCCCATGTCATGAGTCTCCTGCAACTCTTAGTAGCAAGGCAAATGGAAATTCTGGAAGCCATAAGAGACAGAGTGAAGAAGGCTGTCCTGCAGAATGCTTTGTGTACTATACTTATACATACCGATCATCATCTTCCACATGAATATTCCCACCAGAAGTACTCTGTAGTGTTGGTAATCCTTCAGTGACACCTTCATCTATTGAACCTAGGGGCAGTTAAATAAACCATACACATTAAGTTACAGTTTAATGGAACCATAGTAATGTTTTTTTCATATCCTCCTCGCAATTCTTTCACTAACAACAGGACCACAGTGTATCTTGCTGGCATATTTAAAAATTCTATTATCACCTAATAGGATAGTGATGTAAAGTGTTCTGCATAATTTATAAAGAAAACTATAATAAATTTGGCCTATTTGGATTCAGGGGATTTTTCAATCGGAAAAAGGTTTAGATACACGTTAAGTGGAGGCAGGACTGTGATTACAAATCGAGTTTATTGTTTAAACAATGCCTAGGGAAGGACACAAAATGGGCTAAATAGTGCAATGCACAGAGGCAGAAACAAATAATACTCAAACAATTAAAGCTCACGTTCCCCTTCATAGCCTTTCCCCAATGTTGGTGCCAGATTAGCACTGTGTTGCTTATAGCTCAATACACCCCAAACAGTCCCATCTGAAGTAGAGTGTCTCTAAAGCAAAATTAATGGGAAGCAACAGGATTTGCTGTCAGTTAAATGTGTAGCATTTGTTAGTACTGTGTTTCCCACTCATCTGTACTGAAGCTCCTTCATAACTCAATGATTGTAGTATCATCAGAAACAGTCAAAACAGAGAAAGGGTACAGGAGGAAGATTTGTTAAATGTTATTAGATTATCAGACAAACTGCGAGCACTGCAAGACTCCCTCAATATAGTACAGCAGAGGAGCTGATGACACAACATGCCCTTTAATGGAAACCATATCCTGAAGATTACTTAGTTCATGGCAAGTGCGGCTTTAGAAATGCCATGTTTGGATTCTGATTACGTGAGATCTTAAACCATATACATCCAGCTTTCTAGGAGAGACAACCCTGTCACTATTTTTAAGGTATCAGGACTTGGTTGATTTGCTTTTAACTCATGTCTACAAACCGAACCATACTTATCTAGAAGTCCCACTTAATTCACCGGGATTTATTTCTCAGTCAATATGATCAAGATCAGTATTAGGCTATTTAAACTGCTTGTAATTGTTAAAATACCTTGTATTTAAATGTGTTTAAAAATTGAAAGCTGTTATGACTGGAACATTTACAAAATTCTGTGGGTGTAAAATCCAGTATGATACTGAAAAATCAGTAGGGCTGTATGATTGTTTTTAGTGTTTAATATTTAAGAAAAAGAAATTAGCATCAATTTAAGGCACTGACTTATTTTTTTTACTGTAATGCTGTTGTTCTCCATCGACACCTTTTTGCTTTAGGAAACGAGGGAAAGAAGGCCCATTGTTCAGTAATGAGACAAATGTTCTCTAAACATGATTGTGGGTTCCAGTTCCAGGTGTCTTCATTTAAAGGATTCTCTGTAGTAGAATTGGAAAGATCCTTGTGTGAGGCCCTGGGAAACTACTGCTGGTTACAGATGACTATATTATGTTAAAAAAAGAAAAGGCTCCCTTGAGTCAAGCTTGAATCCTGATCAGTACATAGCCAAGACCATGTAGTATGTTGGCAACAATATTCTCCTCCAGGATTTTTTTTTTTAAACCCCTCAGTCTAACTTAACACCTTGAATTTTCTCATGGTCTCCAATCCATTGACTATCAGGTTTTGTCTTTGCTTAGTTTTTTCTGAAGTTCAGCTAGATGTTGCTGCATGAATCAAAAGCCTTATATTGTAAGGCAGCTTCATATGTTTGCATTTTTAAAAAATTTTAAATATTAAGGGTATTGTCAAAGCTAAATTAAAATGACTAGATAGCACAGGTATATCTCCAGTTGCATTCCTAACAATATTTATAAAGTTTTAGCAGACATTATCATATAACCTTTACTGAGCTTTAATTATGTATAAATGAGATGCCAGCACATTATGTTGCAAGAGAATGTGGATGGAGATATACTTTCAAATCATAAAACCTGAGTTGGAAGGGACCATTTAGGTCAACAGGTCCAACCCTCTGCTAAATGCTGGAAGACAAATTAAAGCATCCCAACAAATGACAATCTAAAAGTTCCACTGGAAAAGGCATCCCATTTAATGTAATGTAATGAAGATAAAGTGCACCCTAGTGATGCCTAAAATTCCCAAGGCACTGAGTGACAAGCTGGTGGATGATTTTTCTGTTCATGCATGTATATAATAGAGCAAAACAGGTCCTGATCACTATTTTCCTCTCTAATAAACCTAACATGGTATTCAAATACATTGTAGCGTTTGAAACATTTTTATGCGGCAAATTAAAAAAGGCCCAAATATCCTACAAAAATTTGAAATAAATCAAACCCCATCCACAGTTACAGCTTCCTAAAAGATATAGTAGAAAAACCAAAAGGATTAGGAGAGAAGTGGGAAAAAGCAAACTCAGGATGCTAGATTCTTACTGCAGTTACTCTTCAGACTTGAATATAAAACACTGCTGACAAAGGAGCCCTTTTCATCAGTGAACTTTTTGATGCAACCAGCAACTTGTCTAAAACTAGCTGATATCCCAGGAAACTGCCAACACTGGAACTCACACCATTTTTAAGTTCCTGCATCTTCAGACAGAATAATACAAAGAGCTATTATGAACAAAAGAGCATTAAAATGTTGTACACCTTCCAGAGTCACCTTGTGAGAGATGGGCGGCTATATAAATATGATAAATACATAAATAAATAAATAAATATCAAACATTTTGATTGTCCCACCTCTGTATTGATAGCTTTGCAGCTGGGACACCACTGCTCCCTTTGATCTTCATGCAAATGAGAAAATTCGGTGAGGGCAACTAGACCTATATCTACAGACTATTTTTCCACAGACGTATCTGCCAGTTGACCAAGCATCTGATTTTGACTGCATGGGCCTCTCTACACACAGCCAAAGCCTGCACACTCTTTTTGACACATTCAGCCAAACTGATCAGGAAATAGGGACAGTAACATTTTGTTCACCTCCCTACATAGAAAATTATAAAACAAAAATGCCAAGCTTCTTGGATTTTTAATTAATGTCAAAGGTCCACTCACTGTACTTTGGGTTGCGAGCCCCTCTGGTTCTAGGATTTCACCATCTTTGGTACCGGATGGGGTTGCACTGCCCCAAACAGACCCTGTGCACAATCTGGGGGTCCTCCTTCTAGCCACAACTTCTGCTTCTCTAGTCGTGGGTAGAAGGGCCTTTGCACAACTTTGTATTGTGCAGCAGTTGCGTCCATTTCTTGTGTCATCACAGGGACCTACTCACAGTCGCTCATGCCCGGTCACCTCCCAGTTAGATTACTGCAATGCGCTCTACATGGGGCTGCCCTTGAACAATATCTGGAAACTTCAGCTGGTGCAAAATGCAGCAGTGCGAGCAGTTCTGTGTGCTTCTAGTAAAACACATGCTACACCTCTGCTTTGTGAGCTGCACTGGTTACGAGTTTGTTTCCAAGTCCAATTCAAGGTGCTGGTGTTGACCTATAAAGCCCTTCATGGCATGGGACTGGGCTATCTGAGGGACTGCCTCTCCCCGATTTCATCCGCCTGTCCTACCAGATCCAGCAGAGAGGGCATGTTACGGGTTTCATTGCCCAGGGAAGTACAGAGATACATTTGGCAGGCCCCAGGTGGTGGGCCTTTTCTGCTGTGGCGCCTGCGCTGTGGAATCTTCTCCCCCCTGAAGTGAGACTGGGCTCATCATTGTTGAGCTTCCGGAGGTCCCTTAAGGCTTGGTTATGCCAGCAGGCTTGGGGACTCCAGGGGACAGGGGAATTAGTGAGGTGGCTTCCTTATTTTTAACTTCCTTTTATTCTGTTTCATTTTGTTTTATTTTTAATGTATTTTATTGTTTTTAGCTGTGTTGTACGCCACCCAGAGTTGCCTGTGGTGAGATGAGTGGCTATATAAATTGATATAATAATAATAATAATAATAATAATGATTTTTTAAAATAGTAACAAACATAGCAGCCTAAGATGTTCAGTGAGATGTACTGCTCAGGTAAGGGAAGATATCCAAATTGGGCACATACATCTGAAATGCACGTTTGTTTTCCTTTTAATATTTTGGGACACCATATATTAGTTTTACCATACAGAAATGTATGTAAACAATATATTCAACACTATCAGTGTATTAGACAATCCTTTGATCATACATACAAATAAGCGTGTCTGTTGATCAAAAGTATTTTGGAAGGCTGTCTAATGGGAGAACATAGTTCCAAGATTTTGCTTAACAAATTATCTTCTTTTAAAAAGCTATGATAAAACATTGAGCTCCATAGCTAGATTTCTGCAGTCCTTTCCTCCTTTGTATAGTTCTGATTAATGCACTGAAGTTTAAGAGAAAAAAACTTCAAGAAGCAGGCTATTATGTTTTTATTAACCATCAAGAAATTCTACTTAATATGCCAACTTTTTTTTTATGATGGCTATTGCTGATTTAGAAGAATTACTTACTAACAACACTTTAATGATTTAATAAATTAGAAATTTATTTATAGATTTATTATTTTTATATTTATTATGTATAAATAAAACAAAGTAGAAATCATCAAAATTTGTTTTAGTTTTGTAAACACGCTGCATTAAAATATTTATATTATATTCTATAGAAATTGTTTTGAATTTCTGGCAAACGCCTTCTATATTTATTCCTGTAAATCACAAAGCAGTGATGGAAACCAGTGTTTTAATCAGAAACAAAAGAAATGTGGTCTTTAATGGCTTTCTATCTGCATCTTCTCATGTTTTGTACTCTAGAAATGATTATCACACTTAAAAAATTACTGTAATGTACCTTTGAATGAGAATGTGGTGAAATAAGTAATCATTATACCTGGACAATGGTCCCCAACATTTCTGGCCTGGTAGGCTCATTTGATATTTTGAGAAATGCTGTGGATGCTCTTGTAACAGGGCTATCCAGTCAAAGAATGGCCAAAATGGCTGCGAGAGACAAACCAAGCCTTGATTTACTAGGATACTACCTTCATCCCCACTAGTCTCACTCCACCCCATGATAATCGATATTACTCCTTTTTATATTTGTTCTCTTTCTAAATAGGCAGGCACACAAAACTGGGCAGCAGATCCTATCAATTTTGTTTTCTAAAATAGCTTAAAGGTCCATTTCAGGCCCACAGACATCCTTAGAAATTAAGAATGAAGTTAAGACTGGCCCTTTGCTTAGAAACCTTAAATGTCCCACTTTTTAATTAAAATTTTACTTTAATGCAAAGTCAGGCAGGCAGGGAGATGTCCATGGGCATAATTAGTGCCCCAGGGAAGTATGTTGGAAAACTCTTTCAGATATTGCAACTAAAAGGATCTAGAACTCTACCTCCAAAGACTTCAAAACAGACCTTCTGATGACACGTGTAGTTCCTAAGAAAACCAGCAAGAAATTTAATGAGCAGGAAAAAAGTAGCAAAGAAGTGAATATTGAACTATGGTCCAGATCACTGGGGTTTCCTTAGAACTTTCATAGGACAACCTGAATCAGAACCGGAAGATATTTTCCTCATATATTAATTTAATTCAACTCCTCACTCAACTATAATGACAAGAAAAATACAGTAACAAAGGAAGACAAGTCATTAAAAAGAAGCACAATTAAAATACAATTCTTGCAAGGTGGAGTGGGGAATATGTGCAGGGCATACAGAACTTTCATTGCCACAAGATGTCCACATCCTGTGTATGTACGTCTAGAGCACTCACATGGCTTTCTAGGAGGTTCTGTAGGTAGAGGCTTTCTTAAAGACCATACTTTCCCTCTTGACAATTGATTTTAGCCATCTGTTTCTTTGACAAGTCATTAAAAAAATTTCTTTGTTTTTCTTTATTTCATACAATTAAGTCTATGTTACTCTGCTCAAATAATAAATCTGTATGACTAATCACACGTCACTAGCAATTCCTTTCCTAAACTCCTACTTCCATGTGCTGAACAGTATGGATTGGATTACATTAGTCTGATAAACCAGCCTTCTTCTAAGGACTGCAGGAAAATAAATTCTGCCTCTTTTATTAATTTACAAACCACACTTTCACATTTCTGCAGTTTAGATATGAGGCATCTAATAAGTTAATACTGTAAAAAATGTTCACTTTTTTTTCTATTCAAAAATTCACAACTGCTCACTCAAAAACATAAATAGATGAAACAATTTAATTTGAACTGAAATGCAGCCAATATCCATTGTTAACATAAGAGCTACACAAAATATGATGCAAAAAATAGCAATATAACTATACTGAGGTATTGCCACTAGAACTTTTTCCTGCTTCCTCAAAGCAGCAATGTAACTGAACTTCTGTGATTTAAGTGTTTCCTTCTAGGAAGCTTCAAAACAGAGGTAATAACTCTTCTGCTCTTGCCCTGCTGTGCAAAGTGCCATACTTGCTAGGAAATAAGGCCCACTGACTCAATAGGACTTCTAGTTTAGATTAGTCCAGTTTATTACTTTTACCTGGTTTTTCTACAGAAGGTATCTAAAATGGCTTATGAAAAATGTTTAATATATCACAAATCAAAGCAATTATTTCTGTGCACTGCAAATAAAGTTTCAAATTGCAAGAAAGAAAATTCAACACTTGTGGACTACATGAATATGGCAAATCATTTCATCTGAAATACAGTGAAAACGGTCATCTTCATACAACCTTTACATGATATGGTACTGGTGTTTCTTGTGAACCACTTGTAAACTCAGAATGAACATAAAATAACCTCAAGCTCTAATGAAACAATGAAACACACATAGATTTAAGTGATTCTACCTATAGAAGATGACTGTGGACTGATCAAAAGGTCCTCCTGAACTTGTTCACTTCCAGGAACTGTCTGCTGATCACTCAAAGAACTTTGGGATGCACTAACAGGCTGAGATACTTCCTCATGTACTTCTTCATCACTCAACCTTTCCACTTTTACACGCACATCTTCTTCAATCACCAGAGGTGAGCTGGTTTTTGTGCTCTCACATGTCATATAATCTGAAATTCTTCTAGATGCTTCAGATGGACCAGGCACTTCTAGAGTCCGAGAATTTTCTACTTGCTTCACCTTTTCTGATTGGAGTCTTCGGTCAATTCCAAAAGGGAAAGTCCAAGGAAAAGCTAAGGAAGAATCCACAGGATGACTTCTAGTCTCTGCATAGGAAGCTGAAGTATTCAAAACCTGTGGGGAGTTTGTCTGGGTGTTACATTTAAGTGGACTTTCTGGTGACATTACAATGTAGCTTTTACGCTTCCGCCGTGATTCTCTGCAGACGGGAATGGTTCTTTCTACCACGCTGCATTCTGAGGAAACTGGAGAAAGACTGCCATCCCGAGATGTAAAATTGCAGTTTGCACTGTTTTCCTGGCCTGTATCTAGTACCTTTTCTTGCTGACTACTGGGGGTGTTCCATAAAATACTTGACTTCATAAACTCAGAACAGGTGCTAGCAACACTGAACATTTGCATATAGCTAGCTGCAGCCAAGACGTCAATAATATTTTCAGTGTTAATAGACAATGTTGCTGTGTATGCATATTCCAGAAGAGGCAAGAAGCCAGTCACTGTCACATGATGCAAGTCAAGTACACTTTGGCTGTCATCTTCTGCTTGGCCAACCAGTTTGGAACGGAAGAAGTCACTGCACGCTGCCAGGACTACCTTGTGTGCTCTGAAGATTTTATCTTGGACACGAATGGTGATGTCACAGAAATGTCCATCGTTACGTAGCATGTTAAGCTTTCCAAGCATCTCCTGGCTGTGAGCTGGGGAACTGTGGGTAAATGTTTTGACGCCCATTTTACTTTTATACTTGCTAAAACAAATATTCAAAATGGACCTAGAAAGAGGGGGAAAAAAAGTTCACAGTGAAAAAAGTTTTTTCAGTAACATAATATTCAATTATGTAAAAAAGCTAAATCTTTCGGAATTTATCGTAAAACATGTCATTAATATGTGCTTAAGAGAATACCAGTTAAACAATATTTCTATGTTGTTAGCTTAGTGAAAATATGTTGCTTGTTTGCCAATAATCTCAAACAAGATATAAAAGACTGAAATGTTGTGTTCACGTCAAGGTAAAATAAAGGCTGTATTAATGATCCTTATTGTGGGAAGAAAAGCTGCTTGACCACAGGTGTGAATGCTCCTTCCCCATCTTCCTTTGATGCTGTCATTAGTCAGAACTATAGCTTAATGTACTCTCTGACTAGGCCACACCGGAGTGAGTTTAAACAATGGTAAAACTTACTGAAGCAAACTTTCCAAAGGTTGCAACTAGCGCAAATATTGTAACTAAATACAGAGCAGTATTGCTAAGCTAAAAATACAGTTTGATTCTTCTATGAATTTTATAGGACCATGAACTAAATGCTTACGTTTGTTGCAGTCAAATTATTCTTGGTAAATTACTGGTTATTCCACTGCAATAGAAATTTTGGCCTAATTATGTTCCAATTATCATTAATTGTGTACAACTGTGCATTTGCAGGAAACTTTAGAAAAATGCCATAATATTTGAAACTGAGTTGTAACAGTTAAATATTGATATGTAATATTCTGGAAAGTTATAGTAAACAAAGACTTTTATGCTAAATCTTGGATTCCCCTGTATCACAGACTGTAAGAAACTCAGACATTTAAGTCCACAGCTTCAAATCCTTAATTAACCATATATATTAGAATTCAACCTAACACAGACTCAAGAATAATTAATCCTGTCAGAACTCACCTGCCTATTCACTAATTGGTCAAACTTGAGTGTGATACAGGAAAAAAAAACATTTCTCTTCAGTAATTTCAGAACATTATGACATTATGTCAAAAAATATTTGCAATAATATTCTTTGACATAATAAAATCACATGAGGTGAGTCAGTACATTTTCAAGTGTTGTAAGAATTTAATTGCTCCATCTGATACTGCTGCTGCTTTCAGTAATACTCATGGATTTCTAAATATAGCAGAACTTTCTCCTTATACTGAAGTGGGCATTTAAGGTCACTTTCTTAAGATGGTCTTATCTGAAAGATAATGTGTAGGTGTGAATGGTCATATTTTTAAAGCTATACAATCCTAGTAAGTCTTAAGGGGGGTGTCGCTTATATATATTACATGTCTGCATAGTATACTGCCTACTGAAGTCAGGTGGATTTAATGTTTGTGTGTGTGTGTGTGTGTGTGTGTGTGTACACATGCACACAAATACACACAGTTCTTCAAACAATTTTTAATATATAAGATATGGTTGGGATAGTCAAAACAGTTAACTCTTCTACACTGTAAGAGGCAGGCTACAATCACATATGCAACACACAAAAATGATCCCCACTGAGCTCAGCAAGTCTAGCAGGCAAATCCTAGGCATATTTATTTACATAATCCTACCTTTCATTTAGGAACTCAAGTGACCTATATAACACTACTATACCTCCTTCTGTTTTTCCCCACAACATGCCTGTGAGATAGACTGCATTGAGAATGAGCGACAGGCCCAAGTCACCCAGTGAGATTACTTGAGTGAAGAGTTTTAGTAACAGTAGACACATTTCTATTTGTTAGGGTTATATCCTGCCTTTTCGTTCAGGAGCTTAAGGTGGTGTTATTTTTCCCCAAATAACAACCATATGAGAGAATGATTGCTCCAGTGACCTTCGGTAGATGAGGATGGACTAGAATCTGAGTCTTCTCAGTGCCAGTCTAACAACTTAACTATTATACTATGCTGGTTCTTGTAAATTAAATACAGATCCAAAATGGCTATCCTGATCCATTCTAATGCGTTATATTTTAAATGCACCATTTCCTAATTAGATATGTGTCAAAATAAGATAAGTTCTTGATGTTGAGTCTTCTATAGCTGGGGTTTATTTTAATGATAATTGTTATAGAAGTATGCTAAAGTCTGTGTGTATCCATATATTTTAAAGGATTAGATAGACTAGAATACAAACAATGGTAAAAATAGTAAAACAATTCTAAGGTATAATAAGTTAGAATTACAATCTTAAAACAATTTAAAAGGCAATAATAAAGAAAAGGAGAAACTAAACATATAAATGACCAGATAAATAAACATGTTAATCTGGTGTCAAAAGGATAATAATTTTGACACCAGTTCTATAGGGTAGGCATTTTACAAAGGAGGACAGTATAAGATTAAAGGCTCTCTCAAAAAATAATTGCTAGATTCTCCTGTTATGCTAAGTCACAATGGGTGGATTCACACATTGTAAGACATGATTAGTGTTTTAGTGCAAATGACAACATATTAAACCATAATCAAACCTACACTGTGGTTTAAAAGTATTATGTTTGATTATGGTTTTATATGTTGCAATGGTTTAATGGTTAATGGTAATGGTTTAATATGTTAATGTGCTTGCTTCCCAATAACATTTACTGTATTTTCATTTAAAATAGTCTATACTGCAATAAATACAAAAAGCAAGTTTCACAAATATTGTATACCTATCCACCAACATTCATTTCAAATAATAATGAAAGATTCTGCACTTATTTGTACATATTCTGAATCACCAGGAAAAGCACACATGAAATGGGCTACTTCATTAGCACTCACATGAAGCAACTTCCTAAACATTAATGCTGCTCCTTTTAAATTTTCAACCAGAACAGTACTTCTCCCATACCAATTCCCCACCCCAGCAAGGTTGAACATAATTATTTGTTATCATGTTGTTCTGTTGAAATGTTCAAGGTGTGTATGTTTTCACTAATCCATCAACTTCTAGTTACATAAGCTACTTCTGTAAGAGGAACTGACTTCCTGGAATTTTGCTCAAGTTTAAACAAGACAAGCATTTGGTACTGCTCTCACCCTTTCTACACTGGTTTAACTTTACAATGAGTTAATTGTCTGAATAGAACCATATACTGCTAAATATTTTCAGACAGTTTACCTCAAACAAAAAAATTGCTTCTGGTTTAGGATTAACACTGTTAGACTAGCACAAACTCAACTGTTTTGAAAATATTGCAAGTTCACAACAGATGTGTAATTCTGCTGCTGAGGAAGGGGGGAGAGACAAAGATCAATACATGAAAATAATGATTAAATAAGCAGATTTATTTAGGTTCTGAGTTTATATGTTCCCTCTAGCAGTAGCCTATCTTTCTTCATTGCCCTAAACTATAGAAAAGACATGGAGTGAATGCTAATCAACAATTTCTATTTACTGAAGCTACCTGGAAAGAGTTTTTGTAGGGAGCTTATCTCAAGGCTATGCAAAACTACTTACAGCTATTTCTAAATTTTAAAAAGTTGATTAAGGCTGAGAGATCATCCTATATTACTTCACATACATCCAGAAACAGGCACTGAAAATTCTGTCTGCCCTAGAACCTAACAAATTCCAGTTCAAATTAATAGGGGATGGTAAGGTAACAATTCTAACCTGTGAAGCTACTCAGAGCTTTGCATATATAGATACCGTACTGATTTAGTTTTGTGTTAACATATGCTTGATCTATTATGGCCTGTTCAAGAAATTATGATCAAGAAACCAATTCAAAAACTTTGGTTTACTACTAAGCATGAATATGTTCTATATCTATCTCTTATGCTGTGTATGACCATAATAAAGATTTGATTTATCTATCTCTCTGAAGAGAAATCAAATTATAACTGCCAATAATTTTATGAGTTTTCTAGTCAAGTCTGTAAACACAACACAATATGGATTCAGAAATCTTGGTATATTATCCCAGTGAAACTAAACTGGACTACATGAATTAACAAGATAATTAACTTTTCAATAATTATAGGGTTAGAAGGGGGAAGACTTTCCTGCCCTCAGAATACCCATATCCTTAATTATTTTTTAAAAAGATTTATATAGCTGCCCATCATATGCAGCATAACCCTAGGTGGATCACAAACAGTGAAAAACAATAAAAACAGTAAGAAAACATAAAAACCAATACAGAAATTCCTGCCCCCCCCCAAACACAACATATCCCCACACATCCACAAATAACTTTACTGGGCTCACACTACCCCAACACACATAGACAGCTTCTTGTATTTAGCATAAAGATCTAAATATGGGACTACCAATTTCCCATTTTAGACCTATTTGTGAACAGATAAGCTTCTGAATATTGTTTATGTGTCACTGGTATGATAATAAAACAAATATGGTAGCTATTTCATGCCAACTCTGCTAGATGTTGCTTATAATGGCCAGAGTGCCTAGAAACATGGTACTTTATAAAAGGCAAAAAATCTATAATTCCCCAACTGCTGCTGTGAACCAGATAAAAAAGAAATCTAGTTTCTTTTAAGTGTGTAGCCTCTAGGGAAGGGAAGAAATTGGAAGAAAAAAGGTACAACTGATAACCACCAGAAATTAAACTTTAAATGTGACATATTCAAGGTGTTTCAAAGGCCAATTGGGCTCACTTTTAGGTTGAAGGTAACAATCAAGTAATCTAAATAAAAACAACTCTTCTGAACTGAAATCTGGCATCCATTGCCAAGAAAGCCTGCATATATAAATCAATATTGGCAATAAGCAAATTGGCTTCACTTTGAAGTGCTGAGCAAGCTGCCTAACTTTGCTACAACTTCAGTACATTAAACCATAATTATAAGTAAAAATGTTCAGGAAAATTTCACTGTTGCTTGCTGAGATCAGTAGATGCACTTTTAAATAACTATTTGCTGTAGTAATTGCTTGGCATAGGCAAGAAGCTTATGAAACTACAGTGAGATAAGTAGAGGTAATTCTTCATTTTGGTTTGGTTCAGTTGCCTTTCTACCTTCTGCACCAGTCATATATGGAAGAAACTTTTCTGTAGAAAGGAATGTGTTCTTGTGTCACCTATTCTATCTCTCTCTGAAAATAAACACAGTTTTTATTGTCACTTATCCAAAACACTGGAGCACTAAATACCTGCCACTGAATTTCACCAGAAATCAGCTTTTAGTTACTAGGCAGTAAGCCAATTAAATCAAGTACTTAATGCAATTCTAAGTATCCAGCTATTTAATTAAATCCATCATGAATAAAGAGCATAATTAATCTCTTTTGCATTCTTGCTAAGGACATCTAGAATAACTTTGAATAGGTATTACTAACAAGGCAGATCTTTAGAACAGCCCAACTACTTAACTGCTATTCAAATGCATTTGTACTATGATAAAAGTGCTTTTAAATAATATTTCTGTACTGTGCTTTCAAGTGTTTAAATAACTTCATGTGCATGGTTTAAGGTTTGTACAAATCACATGTAAAGGATTGTATGTTTATGTGAGGGCAAATAATTGGAGAGAAAGAAGCTTAACTATTTCTCCCAGGCTACTCTTACTTCATTACTGCTGTTGATGTTAAAATACTAAAAAGATGCTCCAAACCTTAAGATTCCACGCTCAATCCATCTCAAAATATCTGTTAACAGTACACTCTGTTTTAGCAGCCATTCTCAGAGGACTCTATGATCAGCCATAGAGTACTTTCATAGCAGCTGCCAAAAAATCTGCTCACACTTCTCAAGGAGGCCCTGTTAACAACTGCATTTTAATGCCCAGGGTGGAGGTAGTCATGCACACAAATGGCAGACCCCCAAAACAGGCCTTTATGGCTAAGGTTGCTCTAAAGGCAGTCAATATAGTCCCTCTTATAGAAAGGATTTTTATGTTGATTGTGTGGCTTGCCTAAGGCCACCTAGGAAGAATATAGGAAAAGTAAGTTTTAAAATAAGGATTTCCTAGTTTATAGCTTTCTCTCTTTAGCCAGTATGTTGTCCAGCACACTATTTCTTTGTTTACTCTTTCTCCTTGCACTTAATATATTTTTTAAACCAGTAGGATCTTAGCTTAAAGACAAATCCTATTCAAACCCTTAAAACAATTATGATTATTAGACATAATTTTGTCTAGTAACTATATTTTAGTCAAATCTACTCTACAACGTTTTAGTGAGGTCAAAAACATAGCACTTTTCTTTCTTGGAATAAGAGTAACATTTTTCTCTTGTAAAGAAGAAAAGCATCTAGGTTGCAGAATAAACCAAACATGGATTGAGACTCTTTCAAATAATTTTTTTGTCATAAGATGCATTACCATACAGAAATTAAATCACTGATAAAAAAAAAAATCATTCCAACATTCAAAAGTATTCTGTGCTATATTTACTCATTATTGAAAACCACAGAGGAAGAACAAGGAAGCAGGCATATCTTGAATTCTGAATCTACTGCAAGTCAATTAAAACTTTCACCTGCATAACACTATTTTATCTTCTAAACTATATAACCTTTGGTCTTTCAACTAGAAGTTAGAATCAATCATGTACTGATTTCTTAGCTAATTTTATTATTTGAAAATGTGTCTTTACTGATTTAAGGGCTGTACTTTTGAAGAGAAAAAGATTTCCTTCCCTTTCAGCTAAATCATAAGATATTCAGTGTGCTTTAATTGTCTCTTGCTTCAAGAAAATGACATATTTTAGCCCACCTGATGCATCCTTGGAAAAAGAAAAGTAAATAAAGAATAGTTTTAATGTGGGTATACTTTTTGACAATATTTTGTTAAGCTGCAAGTGATCCAGGAGTAGTACAAACAGGGGACTAATATGCTGTGATATAGAAATCCAGAACTTCCTATCAGCATAAACAAGAGCCAATTCAATGTAATTTTTGTATGTTCTTTTTACTGTGAATGTTGTAAGCCACTGTGAGTCCGATAGATTCAGCAGAATACACATCTAATAAATAAGCCTCAATCAACAATAATGTAAAACCCTCTATATTTCTGATTGTGAATACCAAATCAATGCCTACGAAAGAAAACGCCAATAGTACAACAGACAGTTTTATTGCTTTGTTCAGTTAGCACGCAAATAAGTGTATTCATTTATATCTTGTCTACAGTATTAGAACAGATCTACTGGATAAACCCCTTGGCTAGAATGAAGTACACTGGTAATCCGTTGCCTTTTGGTAAGAACAAATCATTATTCCAAGACCATAATAAAAATCATTATTACCAGTCTGATCTGAAGCAAAGAGTGATGTGCTCTGATGATGTGTATAAGCTTGATTTTTACACAATAAGCTGCGGCATAGCTTGTTTGTTTTAGCTTAACATGTGGGTAAATAACACTTTTGGCTGATGGGTATACTGAAACTGTTGTGAGTGTCCTCACAAATTAATTTCCATAAGAGGGCTAAAAGGACAGTCAAGCTTAATTCTACATGGATATGCCCATGTAGTTTCCTTGGGAACAATAAAGAAGTGGTTCCCTTCTTCAGCAATGCTTTCTCAACTTCCCAATCTAGCTGAAGATGCTTGAACTTGGTAGTCTCTCACTAAGTACTAATCAGGTCCGACCCTGTTTAACTTTTTGAGATCAGCCAAGGTGGGCTAGGTGCTTTCCTATTGACAAAAGGCCTGTCATGGTGAGTTCTGGACCTGGTGAATTTCATCAGAAGGGAAGCTAGCAAGGTCATGTATTTTAACTCTCCCTCCTGATGCTTTACCATTCCAGCTTATCTTGACTTTTTACTGGGCTGGTTAGCGCATCTTCAAACACAGCACTAGACTGTACCCACCATTTTTATTTTCCAATAACAATACACAGACTATACTGAGCCCCAAACCATTCTTGGAAATAGAGAAGATTGTAGCTCTTTGTTTTGTTTTAAATTTTTAAATTAAAAGAATCTAAGAGACCCATAAATTTAAGCGGGGTAAGAATCCACCATCACCGTAAATGATCAAGACCTGCATTCCGGACCAGTAAGAGTGACACATGTTAGCATAACAAAAAACGACCGAGGGAACCATAACAACCCAATGTATATAATGCATAGTCAGAAAACAGGATGGGGACAGAACACCAGGCAAATTAAGGGTCACCCCCGACCCGTAAATAGAAGACCAAAAATGAAAGGAGAGCAAGACATATTGAGGATAGACCTAAACAACAGGTTTGGGGAAGGGAGAAATTAGTACCAGGTATTAAGCCTGAACATGTAAGGACAAACTCTTTTTAACAGCACCTATGGCATCCCATATCTGTACAGTGACCATATTTTCTTAGAAAATAGGACAAACCTGAAAAGGGCAAATCAGAAGGAGGTCCATAAGGATAAAAAAATAATACTTAGGTTTATAACTTTGCTTTACAAAGGAAAATCCAAGAGCAAAACCAAGAAAATAATTAAATAAATCTAAAGGACAGCTTTCTGAAATAAACGACTGTCTTTTATAATAAAGGGGGTACGGTCACTGTACATATCTGCTTTTTGAAGGAATAACTGGAAAACCCGCAGGCCAGGGACACCTATTTTGGGAGCTTACCCTCCGCCTGGGGGCACAGACTCCACCGAGGCCTTCCCCAAACGGGGAACTTCCTGCCCCCCTTGCTTTGGGAGCTTCCTACTAGGAGGATCCCCCCACAGACCCCCTCCCCACCGCAGCCCCTCATGCCCAAGGTAATAACATTGCAAACCCGGCACCCGAGCAATCCCAGGGCGGGGGGGCTGTTAAGAGGAGGCTCTCCC